TCCACTGGCAAGTACTGTTTTCAGGAATTTCACCTTTAAATCCATAACGAAGATTGGCTGATTCAGTTTTTAACAAAACATTGCTTTGAGACCTTTTGTTCTAAGATACATAGAATTCCTAAAATAGATGTAATTTTACTTTTCACATTGTTTTCTCAAGTATAACACACACTGTGGATATTAGCTGTTATTTGAACATTTGAAGGCATTTGCCTAAACATGTTCTTAGAAACAATTCTTTGATGGAATTACCATTTTAATGTTTTACTGTGGAAAGCAGGGTACATTAAGTATTTCTTTTGCAAAATTAATAGCCTTTTCAGAAGGCAGATATTTTAGCATTCTCAGAGTATAGTTGGTACAGTCTTATCATTTTTTTCTATTTATTTGTAGATTAAAAATAATCAAACATTTTTCTTTTGTTTTTTTAGTAGCATTACCTTAGCTATGTTACCAGTCCTAAAATGCCATCATGTTCGAACCCACAAGGACTGAATCTGAATCAATTCATTGGGTGAGCCTTCATGATTTAATGGTCTCAGGGAATGCCATTACAGACCTATCCAGAGGTGAGCTTCACTGTATATAGTCAAGTTGGCAATCAAGATCAACTGTGACACCTGATTATTCTAAGTTTGGGCTTTATTGAGTAGTTTATAACCAAAATAATTTAAAATTATATTGAATGGTAATTATTAAAATAAATTGCAAGTATTGTATTCATAAAAACAAAAACAAAAGTAACATTTCAAAATTTGTTTTAAAGCAGCTTGCCTTACTTTCACAATGTAAAGAATGGATTTCTGACATGATAGCTAAATCAATTCCAACAAAGTACTTAAAACTGAGATGAGATGGAAACATTAAAGTTTTTGCAACCAAATTATTTTTTCAGATCACATAGATTTTAACTCCTCAAGACTCCAGAGGAAGAGGGAATCATAGGATAGAAGACAGATCAGGCACCAGAGTGACCTCGAGTGATCTAAAGCTTGCTTGGCAAGCTAAGCAATAGTGGAGAGACCACCTCGAATGCCCATTCCTGATAATGAACTTGATGTCTATAACCATCCGGGAGCCTTCATCCTGTGACTGATGGAAGCAGAGGCGAACACACAATTAATCACTGAACTGAACCCAAGGAACCCAGTGACAGAGAGAGATGAGTGATGAGCAAATTGGCAATGAATGGGCTGGCAAAACCAGCAGAGACAGCTGATCTGAACAGGGGAGAGCTCTTGGACCCCAGAGCGACAATGGTGAGGCCAGCATGGGACTGATCTGGACCCCCCCAAATGTGAGTGTCAGCGAGAAGGCCTGGGCAACCTATGGGGCCCTGAGCTGTGGATCAGTGTCTATCCCTGGAATACAAACAGTCATCGTGTGCCCATAGCACAAAGAGGGATGCTCTCTCAGCCTGGACTCTTAGGGGAGTGCCTGGACCCTACCCAGAGTGAAATGACAGACTCTAGATATCCCCTATGTGGAAGGATTTGGCAATAGGGTGGGAGGGTGGGGGGGGGGGGAAGGGAAGTGCGGGAGGTGGGGAGGGAGAGGGAACTGGGATTGACATGTAAAACAAGCTATTTAAAATTAAAATAAAAAATGATAAAAAAAGACTCCAGAGGACATGGAATTAACACAGAAGCAGAAAAGCAGTTAGCAATGTGCTTCTAATTGCCTGTTAAGTTTTTGATACCGATGCGTCAACAAAGGCCAGCATTGGGGGCAGCATGGGAGCCAAGCAGTTCCTTGGTGTGTTTGGACACTGTATATGAGATGGATTCCAACAGAGATCATGTAACTGCCCCTTACTATGACAACATTGCAAGTAAGTATGTTTATTGTTCATTGTTTCATACCACTGGAGAAAAAAGGCTTTTAAAGGGAATCTAGCATACTTTTAGAAATTGTATTTAGTCATCATGGTTTAGTACCTAAACTCCTCAGAAGAATAATCAGGCCAGACTATTTTTCATGATAATGATATTCTGAAGTGAAGAAGCAAATGAAGTGAACAGCTTGTTGCCAATCCTTCTGTTGCCAGTGCACCCCTCCCCAGTGGAGGTGACCATGGCAAACGGAGTCCACTGGAAGCCCTGGGACCATTCTCCCTCTCTTAAGTTGTCACCCAGGAAAATAAATGAACACGTCAAGGCTGTTTTATGAGTGACATAAAACTTTCAAAATTAGTTTAAAAATGGTATTTCCGCCCGACACTCACTTTGAAAGCAACATTAAAGCTTTTAACTTTGATGAACTATATGCACACAGAGCAAGGGCCATTCTGTGACTTGAAACGCGCTGACAATACCATGACAACGACACAGAATAGCATCCTTATTTGTTTGCTGGGCACCACCCAAACCTGCAGCCTGGTGGATTAGTCAGTGCTCCTTTGTAAGACAAGAAAGGGAGCTTACGTCTCTGGTACTAGGGCTATTCACCCCACAATCTCTTTACAAAAGTCAACACAACTTTGCATGGTGTAGCATATTTAAGAAGAAAAGCATCCCCACTCAGAAAGCATTCAGCAGGAGAAATCATGCAGTGCAGGTGACGTGACTGGACAGCTCTGAGAGCAAGAGTATGTACTAGGAACTGTGACTAAAGGGCCGACTTCTAGCTCACACATCCTAGGTACTGTATTCCTGTCCTAGTTACAGTTACTGCTGCTGTGATGAGACACCATGATTCAAAGAACCTTAGGGAAGGAAGGGTGGTTTTGGCTTACACTCTCACATCACTGTTCATCATTGAAGGAAATACGTAAAGCTCCTCATAAGGGCAGAGTTAGTTAAAATTAATGTGAACACTGTAATGACTCCTCCTATGTTTTGCATGTTTTCTGGGGTTTTGGGGGATATGACTGAGAAACGTTCCAGGCCTTCTTGCATGGCTTAGCCGAGGCTTACTCTTAAAAAGAAAGTTGGGTATAGCAACTAACAAAGACAGCTGCAGACTTCTGAGGCATGAACACAGGATAAATTATATATATATATATACATATATATATATATATACACATATATTTGTTTTTTTCGAGACAGTGTTTCTCTGTATTGTTCTGGAGCCTGTCCTGGAACTCTTTCTTTGAAGACCAGGCTAGCCTCGAACTCACAGAGGTAGGTAACTGTGCTTCTCCCTTGAGGGGGCTACTGGGTTGCAGGTCTCTTCCTCTCTTCCACTTTTGATCTGCCACCACGGCGCAAGCAGCCTTTTCCACCATAGTCTCCCACCTTCTCCCTGGTCCACTGTTTCCCACCTTCTGCACCACCCTGTTTATTCTCTGGATCCAGGAACTATGTGACTATCTGTTCTTGTGAACTATGAGGACTCATCCATGAAGCATGCTCCAAAGTCACACCATACTGCTGTTCTTTAGAGTCCTTCCTGTCATGGCAATGTCCACCCAATCATGTTAGAGCCCCTGACTGACTTCTTTTCTCATGCAATCCAGCACCCCAATCCCCTGTGATCTACCAATGAATATAGATAGAACAAGGTTTTTTGTTTTTTTAGAATCCTGAAGAGTCAGCAGGTCCCGAAGGGGTGGGTAGGACTCCTGAGGCTTTTAGTAGCAGCCCCATACCCCCCTTCTCCTACTCTACCCCCAAGCCCTATTTCCTACCCCCACCCCACCCCGGGACACAGGAGAGGCCACAGAGAGACTTCCTGTTGCATGGGTGGACAAGATTTCTGTTTTTCTGATCCTGCTTGCAGGACATGCTGCCTCCACTGTGAAGATTGTAGAGGCCAGCAGGGTCATGGGTGTCCTGATAATAAGTCATGAACAAATGACTAGTGACTGTGGGCTCTACCCGATCCTTCAGAGACACAGAAGAGCCCAGGGTCTTTGCACATTCCTAAAGAACTGGGATCTCATAATGCCAGAGATGGGACAGAGTGTGATTGAGGATGACCCTGATGAGGATGTGGACACAAGAGAACCCTATGCACCATACTAATGGGAATGAAAACCAGTGCAGCCACTATCTGCAGAAATCAGTACAAGGGTTTCTCAAAAATCTAAAAATAGATCTATCATGTAGTCCAGATAGACCACTCTTGGGTATTTACCCAAAAGGTCCCAAATTATCATATCACAGAGATACTTCCTATCAATATTTGCTGCATTGTTATTCATAACAGCTAAGTTATGGAGCCAACTGAGGTGCCCAACTCACAGATGGATGCAGACAACATAACATACACAGTGCAATTATTTTCAGCCATGAAAATATGAAGTTGCTCCATTTGCAGGAAAATACATGTGTCTGGAAATTCCCATGTTAAGTGAATTAAGCCAGTCCCAGAAAGACATGAATATACCCTTTCTCTTATTTGTGGTTCCTAGACTTTGTACAGATATATGAAATCATGTGTATACATATGACACAAAAGTAGAAATGAAACTGTATAGGGCAACAGTGGAGCCTAACAGGAAGGGGAAGGGATGGGAAAGGGCAGGGTAGAGTTATGGGGAAAATAAGCTCAGCACACATCATATACTTGTATGAATATATTCTTATACAGCACAATACCATGAACAATCAATAAACACAATGAACAAGGAAAGAAAATGTAAGCCCAGTAGTTCTGTGTCTCTGAGAGGTTTGAAGACTCCACATTCTTGCAGATGCAACCCTGAAATAGGGATGTTTCATGTCTACTTTCTCTTACTAATCTAACATCATAACTCCCCTCTCTGACCTACCTCTTGCTCTCTGTGACATCATAGGCCAAGTTAAGGTTAAGTTGTATAAAAGGGAGAAAATAATGAGGACCCCTCCCCTGGAGAAGTGGACTCAGAGACAGCAGGAAGTAGAACATTCTGGAAGAACATGTGTCTGTTTATAAGTAATAGAATGAAACAAAGGCTCCAGTTCTTCTGTGATGCAGAATATCACCTCAGGTCTACCACAGAACACAGGTAAGAAACAGACTTAGAGTCTGGAATTCTCTTCCCTTTAGGTGGCTCTACCATTACTGATCTTTACCTGAGAGGTACCGATGCGTAGGCATACATCTATTGATTGGTTTATGTCGATAGATGCCGAGGTAAAGTGGCTTCAGTTGCTGTGACAAAATCATTTCATTCAAGTTTTTCTGCAGAATGAAGTATTCTTCAGATAATTTTGATATCTAAAAAGAAGGCCATACAGCAGATTAAACCAGAGACAAGACTTACCATACTCCATGGGACTTCCGAGTTCCTCTCACAGAGCTACCTGGACTCTTGCAACCGTGTTTAATAAAGTCCTCACGTTACACAACCTTCAGCTCTTGGCTTCTTGTCTGTGTCATGTTTTCACCAAAGGTTGCAAACCTGTGATGCTACATTCAACATCTATCCATCTGTCTTCCTGGGGTTCCTCAGATCTGGCTTCTGCACTTACCTTACTGGTGTGGTAGTCTACTTCTAAGGACCTACTGGCCTTTAGTTGTGTTAAGGCTCCCCACTTCCTCTCCGTCTTCTTGGCTGACTCAAGACTTGGGACTCCTCTTCTTTTGCTTCACCCCTCATCTCCACTCTGCATTCCATCCCCTACAACCTAGATCTCTGCTAGGGTGAGTGTAGGGTTCATGATTTTCTGCCTCTGGAACTGCACTAGCCAGTATTTCTACCTTTCCTCATCTGTCCCAGGTGCACATCATCTCTGGGTTTCTAATACCTGATTTGATCTTTGGTGAGAAAATTTGTATGCAACAAAGAAGAGAAAGATTGAATGCACATAAAACTCACTTTTCGCCGGGCGGTGGTGGCGCACGCCTTTAATCCCAGCACTCGGGAGGCAGAGGCAGGCGGGTCTCTGTGAGTTCGAGGCCGGGCTGGACCGATAGCCTCCAAAACAATACAGAGAAACTCTGTCTCGTAAAAACAAAACAAAAAAAACCCCAAAAAACAAAACCAAAAAAACAAACAAAAAACCCCCTCACTTTTCCAGGTGCTTAAAAATAAAAACCATGCTACAATTAGGGAAACTCCCAGGAATCTACAAGAATGACCCCACCTAAGTCTCCTAACAGTAGTGGATAAGTAGCCTAAACTGGCCCTATCCTGTGATCATATTGGTGACTGCCCCATTTGTCATTAGAGAGCCTTCATCCGGTGACTGATGAAAACAGATACAGAGACCCACTGCCAAACATTAGCCCAAGCTCAGGGAATCCTGCTGAAGAAAGGGAGGAAGGATTGTAGGAGCCATATGGGTCAAGGACATCACAAGAAAACCCACAGAAACAACTAACCTGGCTTATAGGAACTAACAGAGTCTGAACCAGGGAGCCTGCATATGACCGACCTAAGTTCTCTACATATATGTGACAATTGCGTAGCTTAGTCTACTTGTAGGATTCCTAACGACAGGAGCAGAGGCTGTCCCTGTCTCTTCGGCTTGCTCTTGGGAACCAATTCCTCATACTAGATTGCCTTGCCCAGCCTTACCACAAGGGGAAGTGCTTAGTCTTACTGCAACTTGATATACCATGCTTTGTTGATACCCATGGAAGGAAGGCCCGCCCTTTTCTGAACAGAAACAGAGGAGGAGTGGACTCAAGTGGGGGTGGGGTGAGTAGTGACATGGAGGTGGGAAGAAAGAATGAGAGAAGAGGGAGAGGGAACTTCGGTTGGGATGTAAAATAAATAAATAAATAAATAAAATTGAGAAGTGAAAACATTCTCAAACCAGAAATAGGTGTCTTCATAAAATGATTTTAAAAAATAGAAGAGGAAGGGGCTTGATAAATTAGTCAGTAGCAGATCTCCATTCATTGCTAAAGGGCAGAGATGGTTGAACCCAACCTCATGGTAGAGATGCAGGGCAGGCATTATGCTCTCTCAGGGTGCGGCTCCCACAGGGAACAAAACTTAGTTTAGGGACCAGGGATATTCGGTATCCTCCTCTGAACATTCTACTACGGAATTTCTTCTGTCATTTCACAGACCACAGACTACTCTGGTAATTTATGTAGTTCAGAGGTCATCTAGTTAACATCTGTCACTCTCTGTAGGAGGAAGTAAAAATGCTGACACAGACAGACATTTTATTAAGGTCAGGTACCTGGGAAAAGAGAACAGGAACAGGCATTCCCTGCTCCTGCAATCTCTCCCTGGCACATTCTTGGCCAGAATTGCTTATTGTCATGAGACTTTCATGTTCATCAAACAGAGGCCCCGCTAAACTTCCCACCAGGTTTTAGCAGCTAATTATGCCAAACAAGCTGAAATTTGGGGAAGGGAAAAAGTCTATGATTTCAGTTTTAAAAATCTTAAACTTGCACTTGCATTTTTTAATAATAAAAGAACTCACAGATACACGAAATTTTCTACTACCCAGTGGCAACACCTCAGTAAGTGATATAAACCATCTGGTATCTTACTACATATGGCTGCTATGATAATTTTATTCTTTATTCTTATCACAAGCAATGGGCATAAAAGTACATGGCTACTAAATAGTGAAGCCATCAATATATGTTACTAAAATGTCTCATAAATACAGATAAAACACTTCGTCAGTTATTTACTATTTGTTTAAACAGTTACTGGGCAGTTCCCAGAGACTTTTATTAGTAAATAAATTTATGTACATACCTGTCTAGAAAACGTTGCCACATCACAGGTTTCTTTTTTTGAAGCCACCTTTGAGTCTCTGTCATTTGTCACCCTGGTAGGATGGCTCCCCTCATGCTTTGTAGCACAGGAATAAACACTGTGAATGTTTCTTGATACTTCTGTGGGTGATGAGGTGATCTTTTGATTCTTAAAGGATGGTGACAGTCTGTCCTCCCCCAACCGTTGCTTTTGCTTAGATTCCTGGTATTTGCTCTGGATGAACAGGGTAGCCTTATTTTCCTCCCTGGCCTGCTCTACTGGTCCAGTGTCTTTTTCTCCGAGGAACCCATGCAGGTGATTGTCTCTCTCCAGGTTATACAGTGATGCATTCTGGGTAACCACAGATGTCTTATTTTCTTTTTCTTTGTTGTCTGCATTTTGATAGACTGACCTTTGACTAAGACTAGGATCCAAAGTTTTTCTCAGGTAAATCTCCTCAGTTAGCCACCGTCCTGGGCAGCTTGGCTTTTCCCACGTCTCTCTCCCTTCTAGACATGTTGCTTTTGATCCTTCAAAGTTCCTCCCCTCTGTGTACCACTGACAGTAAGTTTGCATCGCAGTGACCCCCTTCTCCTTTTGCCTGATCTTCCTGCTTTCTTCCAGGCCTTGCACACACTTCTGCCTGGGGTTTGCTTCTACCCAAGGGTCCCCCCCAACACACAGCTCTCCCCCGTACACATTGCTTACTTTCTTCTGAGTCTGATGTCTTCTGCTGTTACTCTCAACATTGGTGGCTTTCCCATCAGCTTTACAGTGAGCTGTCCTTCCCGCAGATAGGCTGTCTTTGTTGTTTGGAGTGGAAATGTTGGATTCATTAGTAGACGCTGCCTTTTCTGTCTGTTTCATCATAAAAGATTCCCTGTGCAAAACAGGTATCTGGACATAAGATCATGCTAAATGAGAGGATATTAATTTTGTTAGTAGTGATGTGCAATATTGTGTGGTAAGATAGGAAAAAGAAACAAAAAAAGTAAAAAAAGATCAAGTCTCATTTATAAAGTACTTCATAAAATGTTCTCTGTACTGATAACTGGGGTGGCTATTTGAATAAGAAAACCAGTTTCAACTTGGAATGGGAAACACGCTAGCATGGGAAGAACTATATTTCCATTCATTGAGGAACCAAAATTCTACACATGATCAAGCCAGTCAAAAATTCGGGATAGGTGGGAAGAGGCTCATGAAGCCCCACCCCTAGCTGGGAAACTTTGGCAGTTGAAGGCTGCTGGGGTGGAGAGAGTCAGTTTATTTCAGGGAAGTGGCCTCTGTTAGGTAGTGCATGCCCAGTGGATTGCCCTGCATCCATGCACATAAGGACATCGACTTGGAGTCAGTGGGTTATGTAAAGAGGACATCAATTTGTGAAGGGGTGTGGCAGGAGGTGAGGTTGCCTGGTGTCTCTTGGAGAAATGGAAAGGGAACAGGTTATTCATATGATCAAAATACACTGTACACATCTATGAAATTCTCAAGGAATGGAAAAATTGTTGAAAGTTCTAGGAGTTTAATCCTTTCCAAATATAACCCTTATAATGAAGAGTACATATAATCAGTTGTAGAAAATACACCCTGTTTTGGAGCCAGTAGTTAGAATGTGTTCCCCAGGCTCTCGAACTGGACTTTAATAAACACCAAACTCAGCGATCACAGGAAATACTGTGCAAAATTAAAAGTTTAATCAGTGTCCTTGATCCACTCATGATTGCATTATACACAGTGCTTCCCCTCCATTTGAAGACAGGGAGGTAAGGTCTTCTGTACGTCATTTTCTTCCTTTTTGAGCAATATGAAAACCGCATAAGAACATCAGTCATGAAAAGGGCATTTTACTGTAGAGATAAACGCTCATGATCTGACATCCCAATACCTTCTCCTGTCGTTGGTGGCAGCAGGGTGAGGGTGGTGATGGTGTGGACGTGGTGGCGGGGTGGAATGGGGTGGAGGTGGTGGCAGGGGAGGGTGGGGTAGGGGTGGTGGCAAGGTGGGTGGGGGTGGGGTGGTAGCGGTTCCATGATGGTGGGGTGGGTGGAGGTGGGTTTTGGTGGTGGTGGGGTGGGTGGTAGGCTGGGGAGTGTCTGCTCAGTATTTCTACTTGGCCCTGTGGCCTGTGTGAGTTTTGGTCTTTTAGAATCTATTTGTGAGGAGGGACAGCTGACCTGCTGGACAGGCTCAGAGGTCCTCACCTGCCTATGAATGAGGTGCTTCTAGGCCTCAGTTCAGGTGTTCTCAGTAAGGGCAGAAGGGAAGTGAGGACTGCAGATAAAGGAAAGGCAGAGGCTGTAGAGAGCTAGGCGCTCCAAAGTGCAGATCCTGGGAAGTAGTGTGCACCAGGCCTCTCTTTCCCTGACCTTCTCGCATTCCTATCTAGTCTCTCTTTGAGTCTACAAGAAGCAATTTCTAGAAGCTATAAAAATTGTGTGTGGTATGTATGTGTGTATGTGCCCATGTGTGTGTGTGGTATATGCATATGTCCATGTCCATGTGTGCATGTGCTTGTGTGTGCATGAATATGAAGGCCCCGTGTTAAAGTTGGGTGTCTTCCTTAATTGCTCTCTGTCTTATTTTTGAGGCAAGGCCATTCACTGAATCTGAAACTCATGTATTCAGCTAAGTTGACCTGTCAGGTAGTTGACTCCAGGGATCAAGTTGTCCCATTTATTAGTGTTGAGATTATAGAGGTGTGTGATGGGGGAAGTCCTTCTGTGTATATGCTGTATTATTGGTTGATGAGTAAAGCACTGTTGGCCAATAGGGATGCAAGATAGGTGGGACTAGAAGTCGAGGAGGATTCTGAGAAATGTAGTCAAGAGGAGGGAGTAGCCATGTGGTCCCAGAAAAGAGAGGACTCGTCAGGATGCCATCCTTGGAAAGATAAGTCCTTATAGAAATATATGTTAGTAGTCATGGGTTAATACTTAAGACAGAACTAGCCAATGAGAAGCCCTGGACATTGGCCGGCAGCATTGTAACTAAGAGTCTCTGTGTGTTATTTGGGGCTGATGTGGCACTGGGACCAGGCTGGTGGGAAGGACACTCATTACAAATGGTGCCCATCATGCTTAGCTTAATATTTCCGCATTATAGATGTGCTACTACATCTGACTTTATATGTGGGTGCTGGAGAGTTTAACTCGGTTTCTTATGCTTATTGGCAAGCACTTTATTTCTGCATATTATCTATCATCCATCTGTCATCTGTCTGTCATCTATCTAATATTTTTATGATTTATAAAAATATGATCATATATTAATGGGGTGCTATGTCATATTTTATACATTTATATAACATTTAATCAGATTAATATTACTCAACTCCTCAAAATGTATCAGTTTTTATAGTGAAAATATTCAATATCCTTATATGTTTTTAGTGTCTGATTGTGTGATCCATCTATCCAATGTCAAATATCTCATCATAGATTGTGTGGGAACAGTTTCTTATTAACACTTGCATAACCCTAAAGGGGAACTTATAGATGGCAGAGTTTAAATTAACTGCAAATTTCCTCACTACATGCAATATCTACAAGTAGTAATATTTCTAGAAGTAGTAATATCAGTCCATCTTTCTCTTAAATGCAGTAGGTCTATACTTCTTTGGCTCCTGTCATTTAGATCCTGCTCCTGAGGCAGACATGGGTTCTCCCTGGAATATGCAGGAGAATTTTACGAGTAACAAGGAAAATCACATCATTTGCACCATTACAGACATCAAAGGGCACATACATAGGCCTCGGAGCACACAGAAAACTGAAAACATAAAATGCCTCTAAGTTTCAATCAACATTGGTGTTTGTTAAAGAAGAAAATGAGATTGGCCTGTGTGATTTGAGGACAGAAGGTGACAAGTGTCCATAAGCTCACTGAAGACTTGAGTGTTGGGTGTGAGAATAACACATGTTGAGTGGAGAGAAAAGGACACCATCTCTTCCATCTTATTTGTTCACCCTTTACATGGCTAATTCTGATGTTGAAGACAAAGGCTGAGTGTGAAGCGACCTTCACATCTCTAGAGAACTATTTATTCCTTTCTATAAATTTGATTTACTATTTGGACCAAAACTATTTTACCTTCATTAATCTGTAGTAATGAAGATAGAATTCTCTACACTTTATATCCTCTATGCTCTTTGCTTAGCCAAAGGGCATATTTCCCCTTTGTATGATACTGAGGATTGAACTCATGGCTTCAATTACACCAGGTTAAATGCTTCACCATAGCCTTTCCTTTGTATATATTGATTAGCAGAGCCAGCCAATGTTACTAGCAATTTATTGGTCATATTATTTTTCATGATGCTGCGAGTCATGAGGATGAGGATTTTGTTTCTTTAATCTCTGTGTCTCACTACTTAACATAAACTCTACTGAATAAATGAATTATTGTGGACCAACTTTGAAATACGCATAGAAAGGCCCAGGGGAGGCAAAAAGGGCAGCTGTTGACTACAATTAGGACTGATGGTGTATCGGCTGTTATGGCCATTGGAATAAATGGAAGGGCTTGGGACATTTAGATGGGGAGGGAGATGTTATTATGGGTGGCAAGAGAATCATTACCAAGGGACACCCAGACCTTTTAGTAGAACTGCAGAGGGCTGTCCCCTAGAAGCCGAGAGGTGGGGGAGCCCTCTGGGAATCAAAGTGTGACCATGGGTATAAGATGCCCAAGAACTCCCCAATAGACACTGTGGTTGTATGTCCCTGGTATTTGATATATCAGTATTAGACAGCAACAGCAAAGACTGAAAATATGATTCTATGAACTTGGAGTATCTTGGTGGCAAAACAGTGTCAGAAAGAACATCATTGTACCTTTTAGTTTCAAAGTTTTTCTTGTAGTAAAATTCCGGGTCATTAGCCTGAATGTTCCTCACTGCTGTGTTTTTCACTTTAGCAGTTTCTTTGCCTTGTTTTCTCATGAGATGTCTTCTTGCAGCTGAAACACATAAGGAACAAAGTAGTAATTGGCACAAGAAATAAACATTAAATGAGTGCAAACTAGAAGTTTTGACCACCATTGTCACAGAAAAAAATGAAAGTAAAGATGCCTAATAGACCTTTTTTTTTTCAAATGGGGGTCATTAGCATGATATACACTACAGCAATGCAATCACCATGGGACCACAGTGACACTGAGAACACGGATGGGATGGCAGCATGTCCCTTAGCTCGGCATTACTTCCTTTTTGTTATGTTCAATTCTTCAGAGTAGGCCCTCATTGTCTATATCTATAGTTCAGACATTTTCAGCAATTATCCTGGGAGTCATATATATTTTAGAATTCAGTTTTCAAAGTTCCCCTTTATTTTAGAAAGGTAACATGGAGTAACTATATATCCAGGACATTCCCTTGTCAGGATAGCTTTTCAAAGCAAAACTCAGGACCATTTCTTTACATCAGTAGACTGTTCTAACAACTTGGAATGAACTAATAACTGTAAACAGTCTTACTTCTTACCAGGTTGTTGGGGCTCCATTCCATATTGACTTAAGGTTAGAGAGTTCAAACCTAGCCTTGTTCTTTCAAGGTTAAAGGCCTAAGACCTAAAGTTCTAAGTTGTGGCTACTGAAGGATGTTTGGCTTAAGGTGTGGTCACTGGATGTCTTCCATAGATAACTGAATACTAGATCTAAGGTATGGTTACTAAATGTCTTGATCCTCAAGGCCAGATAACAAGACATTTGATTTATGGTGTGGTTACTAGATGTTTTGAGAATTAAGGAAATAATTACATTTGTTTGTTCCTTGCATCATTGGTAAGGAAGTCCTTTTGCATTTCTCCCCCTTTTTGTTGGGGTATATAAGAACTTTGAGTAATAAACTTAGGGCAATGCCCTCCCAACTCTATCTTCTGTCTCTAGTCTGTTTCTTTCCTCAATCCACACACCCCTTCTCAGGTATTAACCAGACTAGTCAGTGAACCAAATAGCAGGTTATGTTTAACTGACAGATGAGTTCTGAACATCTTTTTAATAGCTCAGAGTTGAGGATGAGGTCCTAAAGTACTTTTGTGTCTTGAGGGGAAGTTAACAGTTTGAAAATTAACTGATGGGCCGGGCGGTGGTGGCACACACCTTTAATCCCAGCACTGGGGAAGCAGAGGCAGGTGGATCTTTGTGAGTTCGATGCTGGGCTGGACCGACAGCCTCCAAAACAATACAGAGAAACCCTGTCTCGTAAAAACCAAAAAAAAAATTTAACTGATGGAACTGGGAACAGGACATCGGTTTTTGGGCAGTTGTCTATGATATTCATCATGTAAATGTTCTTCAGAATGTGTCCATGTATGTCAGTGAGCTAAAATTTGATTTAGTGAGCCTAGGCTAGCACCTAAAATGAAACAAAATAGATCAGAAGTAAAATGTCAGAGTGAAACATTTTTAATTATGGCTATTTGGTAAAAATTTTTTTTGCAAAATACTGTAGCAAGTCATCCTAGGCATGAGTTAAACTTACTAATACCTTTAAAGGAAAAAACCCAGCAAAATCCAAAGTCTATTAACATATTTTAATAAAAAGTTGCTAAGTATGATCCTATATATCACTTCCCTAGAGCTAATACAGGAGAATAGATGCCTTTTAACAAAAATGAAATTTAATTAAATTGCCGAAAATTATGACAATTGTCACCTTTGGAATAGAGTAGGAAAAATCTTATTGCCTAATGAGTTATGATATTGTAATATGATTCTTGTGACCCATTATAAATCCAGTTATTAACCACATCAAACAGGATTGGTCAATTGTGTTTCATTAATCCTTGACATGAAACTTAAAACCTCAAATTATTTAATTTAAAACAAAACATTTATCCAAATATTAAAAGTGTCAATCATTGTAACAGTCTAATTTAAGGTAGTATGAAAATAAACACGAAAGTCACACAAAAATTGCAAGGAAGTGCTAGAAGATTCAATTTATGACCATATATACATATCTCATTATACTTTCTACACTTCAAGGTGACTTTGGTAATTACCTGACTGTATTATTACAGCACTGTCTTTCCTCTTCTGCTGTAGCTTTTGGTATCTTCTTGAACCCAAGAATGCTCTGACACCGGCTTGAATCAAAACAAGCTTGTCAATGGCTTCCTTTCGCATTAGATTCAACTGTTCCACATGATAATATTTAAGGAACACCTTAAAAGAATTAAAATAAAGTACAGTAAGATCTTGGGACACAGACGTACAGGGGATGTTTGTCATTCTTGAAGAACAGACTGTATGTTGAACCTCTTAGGGTATAGAAGACATATTTGCTTCCTGGGCTTGTCTGTCAGTTCCATTTTGATGCTCAACCAAAATTTGTCTTTGAGAAGGAAGCAAAAGGAAGACCTGGCAACACTGAGGTCCTTTGGATCTGATAATAAGAAAAGGTAGAATCTGAGCTCTCTCTGGAAAATATTTAGCATCATATATTCTGGGTTAAGCTAATTTTTATGCTTAAAACATTTTACAGACATTGCTGTTTTCCAAATTTAAAAACCATACAACTCTGTCTCTTAATAAAAGGGCAGTTTATTCATCAAGTGTTCACTCACCAAATGATTCTTGGAACTTATTGTGTTTCTTTATCTGCTGGGGATATAAAGATGCATATGGCAGGGGACTGTCAAGGCACTGTCAATGGGGAAAGTGAGGCAGCTAGGGTCCGATCAGAATCAACAACTTTCTCTATAGACTAACCACAGGGTGACTTCAGGTCATTCTAAAGTTAACTTGAACTTGGGCAAGGCAGGAGCCTCAGACCAAAGACATTCTTGAATATCTTTCCTTTTCTTTATTTTTTTAAGTGGATAAATTCATCAACATATCTCACTTCTAAGAGTTCATTGAGCACATCAAGAAAACTAGTTAAAAATCAAATGTTGTAGCTGAGTCATAAGATCTAGTAACTGAACTGTAGAACTCTCTCAGCATGCCACTGAACATGGAAGCCTGGCACCACAGGTAAACAGTTCAGCATTATGGATTTTGATTGAATTCAATTTTAATTTTTACAGGATTCTGGATATTAATATATTTAGTCAATTCTGTTGTTGACAATTCATTTAAAATTCAATGTGTTTAAAAAGGTCATAATTTTTTGCATAGTGTTAGAAATGTTCTTGTATTAAACACTTTTATCCATGTTAATGAATTGGAAAGGTGAAGTGGAAAAATATGAATAGCTTTAAAATGCTACTTAAATATCATGCAGAACTGGCAGGCAAAGGGCCTTTTTACAAGTTAAAAGTTCCATTTGAAGTTACACATGCATTTTTGACCATAAATGATGATGTTTTAGCCTGACAGAGTTCATCTTTGTGAGCATTTTAAAGAAAATAGTCTGAATAGAACATATATCCTCTGAGCACCTTGAATTCTCCTTTATCAAATATATAAAAAAGTGTTATTTAGTCTAAGACAGATGATCAGAAAAATCTGTGAAATTGTTACTTGGATAATACATCCTCTGAACATCATGAAATTCTCTCCCCTCCTCCTATGCCCAAGACACGATACTCAAATTTCTTATAAATGAGGGCATTTGTTCTGGTCCCATTGAGGTGGTTGACAGTCTAGCTATTCTTGAATGATCAATCTGTGAGTATTTCTTTAGTTTTGTTCTTTTCCCACCCTGTCTTGGGGTGTAACTGGCATACCTCCAAGACACATTTAGAATGCACTGGTATATCTGGTATACCTCCAAGACACATTTAGAATGCACTGGGACTTACCCACCTTAAGAGGCTCTAAGGACACATGCCAGGTCAGGTGAATCCATTCTCCAAACAGCTACTTGTTTGGCTTCCATATTCAAGATGAGTTTTTAAAAATATTTGTTATCTAGGGAGCTAAGTAAGATTCCCCAGGCTCCCAAAGTTTGTAATATATGCACCAGTACTCAAACATACAGTGGGTCTCGTGATGATACTAACTATTTTACTTTAGTTAAATTTCAAGTTTATAATAGAAACCAAGTGAGAATTTATAAAAGAAGAGAAAAGCAGGAATCCCATTCTGATCATATACGCTCTCTGACTGTTTGGAAGTGATAAAGTAGATAAAATGATGACTGGCAGTATATGCCTTTAATCTTATCACTGGCAGCAGAAGCAGGAGTGTCTCTGAGTTTAAACCCAGCCTGGAATGAATTTTAGGCCAGTGAAGGATTCACAGTGAGACTCTGGTCCCTCCCATAGAAAAATATATGCTTGTTTACAATACCATTTGAAATTAAGTATATTTATTGCCAGTGTCATTGGGGTTTTTCTTTTGGATAAATCTTTGAAATAAATTTTTTCACACTGCCTGCATCAAGTTTGCCATGAGCATGTCTGTGGAACATTTTCTTGATTGCTAACTGACATAAGAAGGCATAGCCCGCTGTGGGCAGTGTCATCCTTAGGCAGGTGGGGCCATGTTTTATAAAGATCAAAAATGTTTTATCTTCATGAAGGAAGGCTTTATGCATTATAAGTTCCATGCCCAGTTTTACATATTCTCTAACAAAAATCATATTAGTTTCAATAATAGTAAGATGTTACAACTCTTACAAATCCACTAATCATTTTCCATAAAAATTACATAAAAAACATTACTTTTGTTTTTCCAAGAGCCCAATTATCAAGACCAGCCTTTTCCAAAATGGTAGCGCATGTGTCTGGGCTCACTGGGGGTTCTTCACTGGACTTGTAGCAGAGAACATAATACCTGAAAGATAAAAATGGCTAGTTTGTCTGTATAGTGGTCCAACATCTCAGTAGTCGTAGCCAACTAGCAGTTTTATTACGGTGAAGGGATGAGACTACCAGACTAAATGCTTGGCTTTCATATGTCCCCCAAATGACAGCAGAGTGAAACAACTCCAGACAGACACAAACCTAGAGCAATCTGTGACTTCACTCCTGTTATTACTCTCCATTTGGTTCTAGTCATAAACATCATATAAAGGGAATCTTTTAATACTCACAGGCACATGAAAATAGAATGTTTATGGATGTGTGTGCAGATTACTGGAAAATCAAGTTGAAAGTCTACAGAATTTAAATTACTTTAGGGTTCAATATTTCATAAATGATGGAACTGGGGTTTAAAGCTAAGTTTGACTTTAAAGTCTGAGTACTCATTGTGATGGCTAACCTTGGTTGTTGGCTTGACACCCTGAAAAGAGAAAACGTTAGTTGAAGAACTGCCTACATCAGGTTTGCTTATGGCCGTGTCTGTGGGGCATTTTCTTGATTGCTAACCAGTGTAAGAAGGCCTACCCCACTGTGAGTGGTGTGATCACTAGGCAAGTGAGCCTGGACTGAACAAGAAAGTTGAACATGAACCTGAGAACAAGCCATTAAACAGTGTTCCTTTGTTGGTTCCTCCTTCAAGCTCTTGCCTTGAGTTCCTGTCTTGGCCTTCCTCGATGATGAACCATAATCTATAGGCTAAAATAAACCCTTTCTTCCCCAAGTTGGTTTTTGTCACATCAACAGAAAGCAAAGTAGAACCTACTATACTGCCCTGTCATCCATGAACTCTGCTTAGGGGATTGCAAGCCATGACTGTGCATAGGTATGAGTATAAAATGGAGCTAATTTCTCTGGATCTTAGAATACAGGTCAACTGAACAACAACAACTTCCCCAAACAGTTAAATACCCTGTACTACAGTTCAGACCTTACATGTCTTTAATGACTCACGTGCTAAAGACCTTTGGAAGACTTTGGGAATTATAAGAAGTGCCATCCAATGGGAAGTCTTCAGGTTACTGGGGATGTGTCCTTGAAGAGGTTATTGGACCCCATCTGAGTACGATATAGCACCACAGGCCCAACGTCATGGAGCCAGTCAATGGACTGGATCAACCTTTTATCTTCATCAGTCGACTATTTCAGATTATTCACCATGATTGGTGAAAACTGATTAACACAGTAAGTTCATATTGGGCACCTTCCCTTAGGATTGTTTTCTTGTCACAAAGCAGGGAAGCTTATCTGTAATCACTGAGAAAGGGCCCGGAGAATTTTCCAACCAAGGAGGGTTAGTCAATGCCAAGGCAGGGCACAGGGTGGGGTGTAGGGGGCTATCTAATCCCACTTAGAGCCTCAGGAGATCTTTTAAAAACAGTTTGCCTGACGAACAGCTGCCAACTTCGGTGACAGCATTCAGAAAAGGTTTAGCCGGGTTATTTCAGGAACTTTGTGTTATTTAGAAAAGTGATTTTTTTTCACTAAATCCATAGCTTTTACCCCTTTCTTTCCCACTTATAATCTAGTAAATTGCTGTTCTATGGCATCATGGGCTTTGAACCATGAGGGAGAATTACTTTTCACTTCTTAGTTTCTAAATAAACAACCACCCGCAAACAAAGCAGCATCAACACAATGGATTTAATCTTCTTTGTGGTCTGTGCTATAAAACCTTGGCTATTGAAAGCATAAAGCTCATATAATTTTAACCCACTGGCTGCCTCATTTCCTTTTCTGTTGCTTCACTAATGCCTACTCTTCCAGTCCAACTTAATCCAAGTCCTCTGAGTTTTTTGGCACACCAGTTTATTGGGACCTGAATATCTTCCTTTTCATTTCTTTTTCACTCCCTAGTCTCATGAGGTAAACAGCTTTGCCTGAACACATAAGCCTGGTGAGCCATTACAGCTCACTTCCCATAAAAGGCACACTTCCTGCCTTCCCTGATAACTGCATGCTCTGCCAGATCCTGGCTTGTGGGTCCTGACTTTGACATTTTGGTTGTGAGCCTAGCCTTTAACGCTGAGCTATCCCTCCAGGCCCTGACCTTGACATTTGGATGTAACACTTTTTCCCTCTGTAGACTCTTATGCTGTGCACACCAGTCTTTTGAACTTGTCATTTACTACTTTGCCTTTCTTGCTAACTTCCCTTTGACTCTGATAATCTTAACTGGGTTTTCAATTGCTGAAGATAAGCCAGTTTTAAAACTGTGTCTCCACAGCTCTCTTAGCACTGTAGCTTAGAATACATATAATATATTAGTAATATTTAAGTAGAATAAGTTAGAAAAGACCAATTACTAGATACTGATTTATTGGCTTATTTAGTGATTTACTTAAAGTCCTTCATGTACTACTTACTGCCAAGCAGGACTACAGTTGCTACCTGAAACAGAACAACCTGGAGAAACAGCTGAAAACAAAACCCCCAAACAGTTGCTACCCTTAGTACCCTGGCCACAAACGCTAATAACCACTATATGTCTTTAAAAAACAAAGGGCCCCAAGCTAACTGCCATGTATACCTTGCTTCTGGAAAAAGTCTCACTTGATTGGTTGCCTCACTTGGCAGTTTTATAACATAAAATGTAAATGCAAACTGGATTTGGACTGAAGCCTTTAAGGAGACACAGGCCCTAGGCTGAGTTCACTGGTGAATACATCTCCTTTCTTATACCTTCATTGGTGTCAGAGTGCTTACTCCAGAGAGATTATTACAACAATATTTATATTAATATTTAAGAAGGTTACTGTCCTCCCAACACATAAAATATATGATACTAAAATCAAATTTTATTTTTAACCTTGCAACCCCTTTACATCTAATATTTTCAGTTATGTACTTTCATGGACAGAATTGAATGTAAATTATATATAAAGTGGTAGGGTGTTCTTGATTTCAGGGCATTCCAAATCTCTCTCTCTCTCTCTCTCTCTCTCTCTCTCTCTCTCTCTCTCTCTCTCTCTCTCTCTCTCTCCTCCCTCCATCCCTCCATCCCTCCCTCTCTCCATCCTTCGTTTTCTTCTTAAACGCTATGATGAATTTCTGAAAAATAAGAAGATCAGCAGGAAGAATTCTCATTATATTGAACATGAATCTTAGATGCTACTCTGGGTTGAGGAGGAAGTGTTATGTCCCACCCCACACACACCAGAGGTGCAGGTTTTGAAGCTTGATTCAGTGGTGCTGCTGCTGAGAGGTAAGTAGATCACAAGGATGTGTAACTTGTCAGTAGGATTGCTATTAGGAGTTGGGATCCATTGGAGGAAGGAGCTACCTGAAGTCACAGGCATGAACTTGTATCTGCAGGCTATACCTTTCTGGTCCCTAGCCTCTTCCTCATGTACCTGCACCTGCAGGATGTACCTTTCCTGTGCCTGCCGTTTTCCTCTCAGTCTCCCTCTACTTCCTGGCTGTCAAAAGGACAGCTGCTGTCTTCCACTATGCACTTCTGCCATGGAGTGTCTAGTTTGCCTCAGGTCTGAAAGCAACATAGCCAGGTGACCGTGGAGTGAAACCACTGAAGCTGCGAGCCCACACACGTCTCTCCTCTCTCAAGTTTCTTCTCTCAGGTATTTGTCCCAGTGACAGACTACCAACTATTGTAGTTACATTAGCCAGGTAAAAGAAAGCATGGTATAGATTTTCTTTTGGGGAGGTGTTCTTAATATTCTTTTATATACTTTGAAAAAAAGATTATAAAATTTTATAGATGGGGAGTTCTTTAAACATTAAAATTGCCTGAAAAACTGCAATATGTCTACAACTTGAAATTTCTTTATATTTCATGATGAATAGAAACAATAGGATTGACAACTATCAGAAACATGGGCATTTAAAATATTGAATATTTAAAATATTGAACCTCAGCATTATCACTAATGTAGTACTTAAAATACACTTACTATATAAAAATTAATTTTATAATGATTGTAAGTGCTAAGAACTCTTTGTACCTAGTGGATTCTTTCTTAAATTAGGAAAGATTAAATCGACATAAATTTAATTGACTTTCTATATCGGCCAAATCTCCATAGACATGACATTATTCAATCTGATCATTATAACTGTTCTATCAGAGGATCATAGCAGACGTAGGAGGTGAGGAGAGTAAGACGCCACAGGGACCAGTGTTTCTCAACGCAGGACTGCTGGTATTTGGGTTTGGAGAGCTTTGCTATGGAAGCTGCCCTCTGTGCTGCAGATGAGAAGATTAGCAGCATCCTGGACCTCCACTCACTGGGTGAGAGCACCCTTCTCTAAGGCATGGCATCCCAAAATGTCTCCAGATATTGCTAAGAATCTTTTGAGGGATGCAGTCTCTCCTACCTGAGAATTGTTGGTGTTCTTCCATGGCCAACGAGCAAATGGTAGCATTGGGCTGAGAATGTAGATCTCCTCGTTCATCGGTGCAGAACCATAGACCCTTGACCTTCCAGTCTTTCTCACGCATCTTCTTCCATCACAGAGACTTCCCAGAGCATAGCAGAGCTTCCCAGACTCAACTAATAATAGCTATATTTTCTTTTCACTATTTCACCTTTTGCTTCTTCCCTAAACCCCTTAGACTATTCTCCACCAGTTTACATTCTACAGTTCTCCTGAAATGTTTTAAAAATATAAACCACACAAAGGAAATGTAAGGAATCCACATACCTCCTTATAAAGTTAGCAAACAGTATCCGATGAGAGTAACCGAGCTTTCGAATTCTGGCTGTTTCCAAAATCCCTGTGCAATGCAGCTGTAGCAGAACTTTCTCTTTGTCGTATTTTCTTGCTTGTCTCTCATTATTTGGCTTGATGCAACGCACAAAATGAGGTTGGTCCACCACCATTTTAGATAACAAATCCATCAAGGAATACTATAATATACAACATGAAATTAATTTCACGGTATGACATTAAGGAAAGTATGAATTTGTAGGCCTTCATTTAAAAAATTTTTTTAATTTTAATTTTAAATAGCTTGCTTCACATGTCAATCCCAGTTCTTTCTCCCTTCCCTCCTCCCGCAGCCCCCCAAAATCCCCCCCAGCCTCCCACCCTATCGCCACTTCCTTCCACATAGGGGATCTCTAGAGTCTGTCATTTCACTCAGGGCAGGGTCCAGGCACTCCCCTAAGAGTCCAGGCTGAGAGAGCACCCTCTTTGTGTTATGGACACACAAAGTCCGTTTGTATGCCAGGGATAAACACTGATCTACTGCCCAGGACCCCATAGGTTGCCCAGGGTAGGCCTTCACTTTTATTACAAGGTAGCCGTCTTAAGAATTAATGTTACAAATGGCTAATCACAGGGAGTGGAAAGAGATCTGATAAAATGGAAAGGAATTCATCTAAAAATTACAGATCCAATGATAGGTAGGGCAATAACTAGGAGGCTGTCTATGAAAAGTTCTAGAAACTCTTAAGGCAGCATTAAGTGATAAATTTATTTTTTACATACTTTTAAAGTAATTATATCCTCTCAAACAAACACACCAAATTACAATATCAAGACATACAATTTAGTTAATTTACTTTATATACTAATTTTCTTGTCCTACTCTGTCTTTGTAGAAAGTATAAAAAACAAACACTTTAATCTCTTGTTGGAATCATCTACTTTAAAATTAGGGCAGAGAAGTTAGTTTCAAAAATAGAACACATATGAAAATAATCAAATTATTAGCCATTTAACTATTTTACCGTGTTTTAGTTTATTGTATTACTGATTTAGGGAGAATATTTTTGTTAAATTGATATTAAAACTTTATTTTGTACCAATGCTTTGTTAAAATATCAGCCGGTTACTGGATAATTAAGAACAGCCTATTAGGAGGAACAGAGTTCAATAAAAATGGAACCTCAGCAAAGTACTTATCTCCAAGCCTGGATCAGAATTTCCTGGCAAGGCAGTGAGTAGACACAATGTGGGGGACTGGTTTTTTCAGTGCTGGAAATGCAAATATCTGGAGTCCCAGGGCCAGTGCCACCCAAGTCCTGAACTTAGACAACTGACAAATCTTCTGCATTTGTATGCTTTCCTCTTGGGGACCAGCTCAGATGGGATCTTCCCAAACAGCTGCAACTGCCACTCTGGAGCCCTGTCATTACATTATCTGTGAGTCATCGTTCCTTTAGTCATGCAAACATCTGCCAGGCACTGGGATATAAAGGTGACAATGCCTGCCTGCTTTCCTGAACGATTTAGGCTTGGGCTTTTTTAGGACTTAGGCATAGTCATGCTCCTTCCATCCTTGTCAGCAGAATGAAAAAATAGCTTGAGGACATACTACATTCTGCATGGAATCAATCCTCTGTCAATTTTTGCTTCAGCTTGGAGATTAAAATGATTTCATGACCTGATCAGATTTAACATACACAATGTTTGATGGTAACAACAGTTGTACAATAATGGTACCGACAACTCACTAAGAAGTAAAGTTATCTGGCTGTAAGCATGTTTAGTGATTCACACATGCCGCCTTGATGATATAAAGGGACTTGCCAGCAGTGGACACAGGCTTTTGGCATCTAAGTGCACCAGAAAATACTCAAGTAGGATTTGATACAGTGTCCACTATAAACTCAGGGCTTTGAGAATATATAACATAAGTATTCGGTTGAAAAAGTGCTTCACTATTCCATTATAGAAATGCATAAATTCATTGGATAACCAATAGCAAATTTAATCTGACTGAATCTACATCTTCCATGTTAAGTGATATTATTAGCAATTGCCAAGTTTTAGGTGGTATTTTCTCCATTGTCCTGGCTGGCTGAAGAGGTAAGAGGTAAGTGAAAACTGGAACTATATTGACAGTGCTTATCTCAGGTTCTTCAACACACAGGGAGGGAAGTGCTTCTTTTCTTTTCCTTTTCTCATACTGTCCAAAGAAGGTCACCTTGTTCCTATGCCCTGGTGTCTACTGTGCCTCTGGTGAGTCTCTCCTTCCCCAGTCCTATGCTGGGCTCTCTGCTCCTGCTGAAAGTATCAGCTTGTGTTTGTGTAAGGAAATATGGGCTTGAGATCCATGCTCAACCTCACCCATCCTTGTTCCATTCAGGGACATTGAATTAAAATTCCTTCCTTCCTTCCTTCCTTCCTTCCTTCCTTCCTTCCTTCCTTCCTTCCTTCCTTCCATTCATCTTTACATCTTTATTCCCTTCATTCTTTCCTTTCTTTCTTCTTTTTTTCCTTTCCAGTGGGAAAGCATTTGGCTATACAGACACTGTTCTGCTTTGTTTCTTTTGTTTTGAGACAGGGTCTAACTATGTGGGATTGATTTTTTTCAGTGCTGGAAATGAAAATCCATCTATGAACTTACTAGGTAGACTAGGCTGGCCTTGAACTTGACAGAGATCTGCCAGTCTCTGATCATCAAATGTTGGAAATAAAGACAAGCACCACTATGTACAGGTTATATGGAAAAATTTCAATATAGTTATGGAATTCCATTGTGATTTTCATAGGGTACACTATTTCACAGGTAAAATACCAAAATAAAGCAATCTACAGACGAAACTAAATGCTAACAAAGCCTGTACCAACACCGTTAATGGGCGTAATAAATGGTGTCTTTTACTAGTTACCACTTTTTATATGTAACTGATTTAGAGTGAGCAGTGTCCTTAAATACAGAATATCATAATTTAATATCTTACCTTAAAATATGATGCAACCGTTTGCGTTTTCATGTTGGTGGTTTCACAGGCATGGCGTGTGATGTCTCTAGTTTCATCCTAAGGAGACCAAAGAAGATGGTAAGGCCTTGCCACCTTCTGCACATTGCAATCTACAAGGAGTACATGATATGTTCCATCAGCCTACCTTAGTCTAGGAGTATAAAAGCACAAAGCCACACAATGTTATTGATAAGCATACTTTAAGGGCTGATGTGTAAGTTGCATTGTCTGTGTTGACTAGACTTGTGCAGAACATGAGTGTTTCTGATCCTGACCACACACACATTTTTATTTAGAAATAATATAAAATTTAAAGGTTGAAAAGAGGAATAAAGCAGAAAAGTATATTTCTGATGTTTGAGCTGCTGTCAGTAAAGCAACCATAAGATAAATAGTCTTACCTTGGTCAAGTTTGTGGATTTTTCTGGATTCCTCATCTGATAGTTTATTATATTTTTAGTTTTAGAAAGTGGCAGATTACCTATGGGAAATGCAGGTAAAATGAATTTATCTTTTAGAACCCTGAGTGGCTGGATAATTTCCCCCATTTATTTAAAGTATTCTGAACATATTAACTCAGAAGCTTGGTTACAAGGATAAAGAATACTATGTGAAAATTATAAAAAAAATCTTTTGTTCTGCATAGCCCTGGCTGTCCTGGAACTTGCTCTGTAGATGAGGCTGGCCTAAACCTCACAGAGATTCACCTGCCTCTGCCTCCCAAGTGCTGGGATTAAAGATATGCCCCACCTCTGAAAGGCTACAATAAATAATTTTCTGGTTTTGTTTTTGTCTTCCCCTCCTCTCCACTCTCCTCCTCCTTTCCCTCTTCTTTCCCCCTCCTTTTCCTCTTTGCCCCTCCTCTTCCTCTTCCCCCGCCTCTTTCTCTTGCTCTTCTTCATTGTCTTTGAAATGATCATGCCACATAGTCCAGGATGATCTCACACTGATGGCAATACTCCTGTTTCAGCCTCCTGGATCCCAGGAGTACAGGCATGTGCTATCATCACACTCAGCTACAACACATCCCAAATTCAGAAAAAGGAAAACCAACCTACTATATGACAAAATAGGACATGTAGAGGTGAGTGACAGGTTTCCTCTCAATTTTAGAAGATATGGGCAGATGGCGATTAAGGAGCAGCTAGCTTTGCATCTTTGTGTTAAGTGCTTTCTGAGATTTTCTTTAACTTGAGGTGGGCTTCAGAGTGAGTTCTAACATCTCATGAAGTGCTTTTGCAAATCAAGCATGAGTGATATCAATATGAATTTTCAATCTTAGCATTCAGAGGTGAGCTTTGTACATTCAAGGCAGTGAAACAGTTAAGGTTAAAAAAGCCAGAAAGACTGGACCTTGAACCACAGTTATTATTCTTAGTCAGGCTGCTGTTGGGTCATATCCTGTAGTTTGAATAAGACTCACTTTAAAGCAATTTACTAAAATGACACGCAAAGAGTTCAGAATTAGAATTTTATACACACACACACACACACACACACACACACACACACACGGATGTAAAAGCAATCCCCATTGAAATCCCAACACAATCTTCACAGACGCTGAAAGAAGAATTCTCAACTTTATATGGAAAGACCCAGGATAGCCAAAACAACAAGGCAAAGTCTGGAGGCATCACCATCCCTGACTTCAAGCTCTATTATAGAGCTATAGTCCTGAAAACAGCTTGGTATTGGCACAAAAATAGACAGGTAGACCAATGGAATAGAATTGAAAACCCTGATATTAACCCACACACATATGAACACTTGGTTTTTGACAAAGAATCTAAAATTATACAATGGAAAAAAGAAGGCATCTTCAACAAATGGTGCTGGCATAACTGGATGCTGGCATGTATGTAGAAGACTGCAGATAGATCCATGTCTATTTCCATGAACAAAACTTAAGTCCAAAAGGATTAAAGACCTCAGCATAAATCCAGTCACACTGGACCTGTTAGAAGAGAAAGTGGGAGGTACCCTTGAACGAATTGGTACAGGAGACTGCTTCCTGAACATAACACCAGTAGCACAGACACTGAATTCAACAATTAATACATGGGGCCTCCTGAAACTGAGAGGATTCTGTAAGGCAAAGGACACAGTCAACATGACAAAAGGGCAGCCCACAGAATGGGAAAGGATATTCACCAACCCCTTATCTGACAGAGGGCTGATCTCCAAAATTTACAAAGAACTCAAGAAACAAGTCTCAAAAACACCAAAGGATCCAATTAAAAAGTGGGGTACAAAACTAAATAGAGAATTCTCAATAGAGGAGTCTAAAATGACTGAAAGACACTTAAAGTGCTCAACATCCCTAGCCATCCGGAAATGCAAATCAAACAACTCTGAGATACTATATCATTCCTGTCAGAATGGTTAAAATAAAAAACACCAATGACAGTTTATGCTGGAAAAGATGTGGAGAAAGGGGAACACTCCTCTATTGATGGTGGTAGTGCCAACTCGTACAACCACTATGGAAATCAGTGTGGAGATTCCTCAGGAAAATGGGAATCAGTCTATCACAAGACCCAGCAATTTCACTCTTAGGCATATACCAAAAAGATGCACATACAACAAGGACGTCTGTTCCACTATGTTCACAGCAGCATTATTTGTAATAGCCAGATTCTGGAAGCAACCTAGATGTCCCTAAACTGAAGAGTGGATAGAGAAAATGTGGTACATTTACACAATGGAGTACTTCTCAGCAGAAAAAAAAAACAATGGAATCTTGAAATTTGCAGGCAAACAGATGGCACTAGAAGAAACAATCCTGAGTGAGGTAACCCAGTCACAAAAAGACAAACATGGTATGTACTCACTCATATATGGATTTTAGACATGAAACAAGAGAGTGCCAGTCTACAATTCCACTGCCAGAGAGTCAGGGAAACAGGAAGGATCCTAAGAGAGATATGCATGGTACTCCAGAGAAGGTGGAATGAGGCAAGATTTCCTGAGCAGATTGGGAGCACGAGGTGGGGAGGGGAAAGGGATCCAGAAAAAAGAGAGGGGGAGAAGAGGAGTAGAGAGGAGAACATGGGGGAGCAGGAAGGTTGAGTTGGGGGAAGTATAGAGAGCAGGATGAGAGATACCATAATAGAAGGATTATTATAGGTTTGAGGGGAGATCAGGCACTAATGAGAACTCCATAGATGTACAAGGATGACACCAAGTGGCAAACTAAGCAGTAGTGGAGAGACTACTTTAAATGCCCCTCACTGATACTTATTTTGACTACTATCTTACATACCATCCTAGAACCTCCATCCAGTGACAGAAGGAAGCAGAGACAGACACCCACAGCTAAACACTGAACTGAACTCCTGGAACCCAGTGACAGAGAAGGAGGAGTGATGAGCAAAGGGGTCAAGACTGGGCTGGTTTAACCCACAGAAACAGCTGACCTGAACAAGGGGGAGATCTTGGACCCTAGACTGATGGCTGAGAGTCCATCATGGGACTGATCCACACCCCCTGAATGTGGGTGTCAGTGAGGAGGCCTAGACAATCTATGGAGCTTTGGGTAGTAGATCAGTATTTATCCCTGGCACAGAAATGGACTTTGGGGACCCATCCCACAATGAGGGATGTTCTCTCAATCTGGACACTTGGGGGAGGGTCTGGGCCCCTTCCCAGAACAAAATGACAGACTCTAGAGATCCCTCATGAAGGGCCTTACCCTCCCTGGGGAGTGGAGTGGGGATTGGGTGGGGTGGCTGCTGGGTGTGGAGGGGAGATATAGGGAGCTGGGATTGACATGGGAAGCAAACTTGTTTCTAATTCAAATATATAATAAAAAAGTGTAAAGAAATAAAAATAAAGAGTAGAATTCAGAGAGGAAAAAAAGGTGTTTCAAAAAAAGTTTGAAGAACAATTTAAAACTACAATAAAAAGAACCCTAAACAAACAAACAAACAAACAAAAAACCAAAAAGCCAGGTGGTGGTGGGTGGTGGTGCACGCCTTTAATCCCAGCACTCAGGAGGCAGTGGCAGGCGGATCTCTGAGAGTTTGAGACCAGCCTGTTATACCGAGCAAGTTCCAGGACAGGCTCGAAAACGATATAGAGAAACCCTGTCTGGAATAAAAAGAACCCTAATCATGTGTATTTTCCCCACTAAATGAAAGTGAGGATGCATAAGGCAGTGGAATAAGGAGTTAGATAATATGAACTTAGCTAATAGAAAACTCATGATCACGAGGGATCATCTAATGGCCACACACACCTGAAAACAGCGAGTTTTCTTTTGAGGAGAGTGAACTCTTCTCATGAGCAACTGGGACACTTCCATATTTTTTTGGTGAGAGTCTCAAATATTTTCCTTTATTAGAGCCTAGTTTCTTTATATTAATTTTTATGCCTCCCTCAGATTAGGAATGAATGACTGCTTTGTGAATTGAAAATAAACAAACATGAAAAATCAAGGACTATGGTCACAAAAAAAGTCACAGAGATAGAAATCACCTGATGAGGCTTAGAAGAACCTTTGCAAAAGTCAACTGTCTTACCTGTTTTGGTCAGAGGGTGGCTGACAAGCTGCCGAATTACACTGTTTTCTGATGACCTCAAAAGTAACACAATGTCAGTCGGGAGCGTGTCTCTGTTTTTTGCCAAGAACCCACTAGCGCTGTAGAGGACCTGTTGAGACAGGTGTTGTGACTATTACAACCCTCGCCATCACTGCCATCCTCAGTGCTCATTGAGGGCTCAGTCTGAACTGGGCAACACCCACACATGACTATGCGTGCAATTCCTTACCATTTGGCCGGAAAGTTGTAAATTTCCTTTATTTGGAGGGATGGGAATCATAGAAGAACCATCCCTATTTCTCTGAGAACTAGTCCAGCTCTCCTGACTTCAACATGATAAGGTCTTACATAATTTAGAGACTGCACTCTGTAGGGTATCTGTTTCTGGAACTTCTAACTAACCATCTTTAAGACTTTAAAGATATGAACATATCCCATAGATTTCTGGTGGATAACCAAATGTGTTGCTATGGATTGAATCATGTCCCTCCAGAACTTATGTTAAAGATGTTCTGAAGTCACACAAAGAAAAGGCCTTGTGTAGACTGGGGGAGGTGACAACTGTCTACAAGCCAGAAGAGGCTTCAATAGGCAACAACTCTGCTCAGAGCACCTTGGTCTCAATCTTTCCGCATCTAGAACAATAATAATAAATTTCTTATGTTAGAGCATTCAGCCTGAGGTACACTCTTATAATGAACCAAATAATACACTTATTAAAACACCTAAGCAAAATAGCCATAGGCAATTCTTAATTGGTGACCAAAGCTGCTTTTATTTGGTAAGTCAAATGCTAAGAATCATGAAAGGTTATAATGAAAATAAATGTAAGTATATAAAATTATGTATGTTATATATAATTAAAATTATGTTTAAAAATTATGTGTATGTATGCTTTTCCACCATGCATATTTGTGCATGCCCACCAAAGCCAGAAGAGGGCATCAGATCCTCTGGACTTGGAGTTATAGATGTTATCCACTAAGTGGGTGCTGGTAATTGAACCCTTTGGTCCTCTGGAAGAACAGGCAGTTTTCTTAACTAGTGAGCTCTCTCTCTTCAGCCCCTCAACTTAAGGGATACGTTGTTAATGACAAAGGTCATTGGGGCATTCTTTGGCCCCTGGAAGTGCCAAATAGATAAATTTATAGGACTTCTCAGTTTATTTTTCAATGATTTTCTCATTTTATACATTCTTTTTGATTTTAGTCTTCTTCGTACCTCAACAATTATGGCACAGTTCTGAGGCGATGATCCATTATTGTCCACAGAAGGGAGCATGCCAGTTGGGTTTAAGACAACATATCTCAGGTTGGACTGGTGTGCGGCTGTGTTCCAACCAGTATATGAATGCTTCTTTAAATTTGAGACCGTCCATTAGTTAGCTCCACACATTTGGGGCAACTCTGCTAGTTGACTATTCTCTTAGCAATCTCTCCTTCATTTTGAGCAGGGAGGGGCATTGGCTGAAAGAGTTGGGGTGAGTAGGAAGAGGGAGGACATGGAGGGAGAGGGAAGGAGAGAGAGGAGAGAGACCGAGAGAAAGAGCAACAGAGGAAGGGAGAGAGAGAGAAAGAGAGGGGGGTTGGAAGGAGAGAGAGAAGAGTGGAAGAGAGGGAGAGACTGACCCTCCTTCTTAGACAAAAAGTAAGAGACAGCTATGTAACATGCCCTAAGGTACTCTTTCGAAAAGTAAAATACAGGTGACCACTGCCAGCTGGTCATTGCAGACAGACTGGATGACTAGGAAGATAGGCAGACGGAAGAACCAGGGCCAGATAGAAGCATGGCAGGATCACACCACTGTGGCTATCTCCCAACAGTCTGGGCCCGCTTACTATACTTTACTGATAGAAGACTGGAGTCAATGACAATTCCCATGGGTTCTTACTTTTCCTGCATAGTGATGGATGCCAAAGCTAAGCTCCATTCTTTTGGGTCTCCAGAAATACTGTGACTTCAGGTTGTCTTCAAACTTCTCTGTAGAAGAAAATTGAACTCCAAATATTAAGCATACAGGAGATCCTCGAGTAAAACTGATGGTCAGAAGTTTTTTTCCCATATAATGCATGAGGAACAGAGATATTTAGATATAGTGAAGTCATAAAGATTTGGAATGACAAAGAAAAATTCACAGTCACGTGTTTACCACTGCATCTTACTTTAGAGCAGGTCTCAAATGTCAGACTATATCATTATCCCTGGAGCACCTGTGGAGGTGCAAGCTATGGGGCCTCACCTGTGGAGGTGTAAGCTATGGGGCCCCACCTGTGGAGCTGAAAGCTATGGGGCCTCACCTGTGGAGGTGCAAGCTATGGGGCCCCACCTGTGGAGCTGCAAGCTATGGGGCCTTACCTGTGGAGGTGCAAGCTATGGGGCCTCACCTGTGGAGGTGCAAGCTATGGGGCCTCACCTGTGGAGGTACAGGCCATTGGACCTCAGACTGTGAGGGCATCAGACTTTGTAGGCTGGGGAGGAAGCCAAAACTTCACTAGCTGCTTGTATTGCTCACGCTCCTGGAGTGAAGGCCATAATGTGATTCCATGCTCTAACACTAAAGCCCTGGTGGTGTAGCTTTCCTGACCATTTGATCACACAAACATAGTGGGTCCATAAAGGCCATCAGTTTCTATGAACATTTTAACACAGCAAGCACCTGCTGTGAAATTATTTCCCCCATGACATTAAGGCTTTTTCCTTTTCTGTCTGGTGTCCAGGGGACAAAACAACCCTGTCAGCAGAAAGGAATACCACAATTACCAAAAGTAAATGAGGAAGAGAAAAACGAATCTACACTTTCTTTAAGTGCTTACATGTATGTTATGAATACCTCCATGAGCAGGGAATAATGACTTTTTTCAGTTACCTACTCAAAAGTCCTTTTGTTTTTTTTTTTCCATCTTAAGTGCCACCTTCCCATTTTAACCACTTCCTTCCTGAGATAGGGTCTCCTGCATCCCTTGCTATGTAGCCAAGGATAACCTTGGCTAATCCTTTAGTCTCTAAGTCCTGACTGCTGGGAATAGCAGCACGTACCACCAAACCCATTTTATAAAGTATCAGCCATCAAACCCAGGGTTTTACCCGTGCTGGTTGTGAAGTTCAATCCTAATTGCCAACTTTATTGGATCTGGAAACAACTGATAGACAGGCCTGTGGGCAGACCCATGGGAATAGTTCCTGGAAGGATGAATTTAGGGGAGAAGACCCTCCCCCATAGTGGGCAGGACCTTTCGGCTGTGTCCCAGATATAAAAAGGTCTGAGGGAAAAGCCGGCTGGACCTGTCTTCCTTCACGTCTGGCTCCTGAGCCTGCCTGTCCCCTTGCCGTTGCTACTGTCCTCCTCTGGGACGTCAGAATAGCTTCTTTTGCCTCCCAGCATGGCTTTCTAGAGGTATCACTGCTAAACTGGGGTTGCTGAGGCAGCTCATCTAGTGGACTGAGCAGCTTTCAGATCCCCAGCCTCTCCAGCATGCAGTCAGTCACTGCAGGACTACTCAGATGTACCGCGCGCGGACAGTCTAAGGCACCCCGTTTTGTTATGTGTGTTCACCCCATGGGTTCTATTCCCCCTAGGAATGCTGCTGTACTCTAAGCAAGTACACCTTTTACCAGCTGAGCTGCGTTCCCAGCCTGTGACAGTTTTGCTTTGATAGCGATAAATTTATCACTAACACCCCAAATCTGCATAAATTGGATATTTCAAAATAAAATTTTCTTTGTTTGTTGTAGGGGCTGGGGAGATGGCCCAGTGGGTAAAGTACTAAGGACCTGAGATCTGCTTCCCAGAGCCCTCATAAAAGCTCATAGGGTACATGCCTGTAATCACAGCATGGGGACCATAGGTGGGGACAGATGGGTCTAGAGGCTTGCTAGTCAGCAGGATAGCTGAAACAGTGAGCTTTGGGTTCAATGAGAGACCCTGTCTCAGAAACTAAGACAGAGAGTGGTAGAGGAACACATCTGAAGTTGACCTCTGGCTTCAATGTGTTTGTACAAGTAGGCACCCCCACACCTTTACACACAAATAAATAAGTTTCTCTCTCTCTCTCTATATATATATATGTATATATATGTATATGTGTGTGTATGTATGTATATTGTTCATATCACTAAATTGAGCTTTCTGCTCACTATTTCCTTCCACATTCTAAAGCTGTGTTTCTTTTCTGTCCACCAATTTCTGACTTGGGATTAGATAATTTTTATGGTGATTTACAAACCAGATTCAACATTTGAGATTCTACCACAAAGGAAGCAGAAATTCAATCTCCAATCTTGTTTAATTCATCACTATGAACTTTACCTTGCTATAAACACTCACTGGACTAGGCATTAGGTCCAAAAATCACTTCTTGAAAACCAGATACTGTGGGCTTTATGATAGCTGTTTTTCCTAAATCATATAAACCAATTAAAAACCATTGCAACTTTCTTGGAACCTTCACAAATACATACAGTCACAGTAGATTTAAGACTCACCTATGAGAGTCTGGTCAGTGGCATTGGGAAATCTGCTTTCCTCATCAAGCAGGGACAATAAGCCCATTGGCTTCTGTAGAAACATGTCTAAGAGGGGTTGGTTGTCTTCATATTCAATAACTCTAGCATCCACGTCTTCCTTTAGATACTCATTCTATAATGGGTTATGAGTCAAACAGAAAAAATCACATAAAAGTGTGAATAATGTATAGGTGGATAGTAATTACCCAGATTTCCACTTTACATATATTATAATAAATTGCTACCTGTGACATTGCCTTAAACAGAGTGTATCATTTTGTTTCTCTCTTTGCTAGCTTATTAAAATCAGCACTGATTATAATCAGGGGACTAGTAAAAGGATTGTCAGTCTCTCAGAATTACAGAGGACTATGTTGTTAATGGAAAGTGGTATGGCTGTGTCCCAGAATTTGTACAACATGACTGAAGCAGATCTTAGGGTCATCCTTTTCCCATTGTCTCTCTCAAGAACATTCACATACTGTTCCGTAATGGTTTCATACACTGACATTGCTGGTGGGGTAGATAGCAGGAGGCAATGGGAACAATCAATGGGTTCAGAATCAAGGACACCCAGGCCCATCTCTAGACACAGCCCCACAATCCATTGGAATTTTCTGACTTTCTAAGAACTTCCTTTCTCATCTATTAAACCAAATCACAACATAAAAACATATAGTACACTGATAATAGTTTGTTTGCTAGTGTTTTACAAGATGTGTGAAATAACCACACCATGAGCCAATGACATGACTGCAAAGTATGGTGTGTTTTGAATATTCCCAATCTAACATATATGTTTAAAATAAGACAAAATCTAAGTCTCAAAGAAGCAAAAGCTCAAACATAGTTTACCTAGCATTAAAAATGAAAACAATTTCTTGAAGTTTCACAGCTCTTATTTTTGAAGGTAACCTTGGGAGAAGTCTGTAAGCCTAGAATTATTTTACTGTTAGACACATTATGCTGACAGCATATAATAACTTGAATCACAGCTACAAAGTTCAAAAAAATTCGTATTTATATAGAAAGTCTATGAGGTTAAGGTCTCAGCTGATGCAACTGTCATTTCTATTTGTCAGTGTCCAAATTCATTGCATGTTTTTTGTGGCAGGTCACACAGTGCAGAGAAGAGTAAGTTGGAAGACAATGCCTTCCTTCAAGTACCTTTGTTATTATGGACTCCAGATAAACCATAGAGAAAAAATTACTTTAGTTGCAATCAGGGCTTATAAAGCACTTATAGTAAAACAAGCAAACCCAAAGCTGCACACTGCATCTTAAGCATATGTGGACATATGAAGTTCATCATCCTTAGCTCTTGGATCATTTAAAAAAGATAGTGAGAAGAACTGTAAGCAGCACTAAGCTGAAGTATTGAGAATATGCACCCCTGTTCTGTTCTCACCCTCTGAATTCCATTCAGAAAGCTGGGAGGTGCTCCCTAAGCCTCAGGGACCATCATGGAAGAGGGGGAGAAAAGATTGTAAGAGACAGAGGTCAGGGAGGATGAGAGGGTAACAGAGTCTTCTGGATATGACAGGACTACTGCACTAAAGAATTCAGAGCGGTTGTGTTTGCCTGCACAAAACTTGCACAGAATCAAACCAATTAACATTTTAGCATGTGACATGGAGGGCTTCATGAACCCACACCCCCCTAACTGAAGAGCTATGGACAGTTTGTGACCTCTGATAGAAGAAAAGTCAGTTTTCTTTAAGGGCATAGCTCCTGGTAGATCAACCAAGTTCTGTACTCTCACACCTAGAGATATATGGGCAGCATGAATTGGAGCTCATTGGTTACACACAAATGCACCAGATCTAAAGCCTGGGAGAACTGTGGAAGTTTGGGGAAGGGATAATAACAGAATGCCAGTCTGTACTTCCACTGACAGAGAGTCTGGGAAACAGGAAAGAACCTAAGAGAGATATGCATGGTACCCCAGAGAAGAGGAATGAGGCAAGATCTAAACAGATTGGAAGCACGGCGAGACGTAGGGGGAGGAGTGGGAGTTGGGAAGAAGAGAGGGGTAGAAGAGGAAGAGAGAGGGTAGGTCATGGGGGAACGGGAAGGCTGAGTGGGGGGGTAGAATAGGGGGAGAACAGGATGAGAAATACCGTAATAGAGGAAGTCATAGGTTAAAAGAGAGATCTGGCACCAGTGAGACCTCTAGTGATCTAAAGGGATGACACCAACTGGCAAGCTAAGCAATAGTGGAGAGACCACCTTAAATGCCCATTTCTGATAATGAAGTTAATGTCTACACTATATGCCATCCTAGAACCTTTATCCAGTGACTGATGGAAGCACACGCAAACACCCACCACACTGAACTGAACCCATGGAACCCAGTGACAGAGAGAGAGAAGCGATGAGCAAACTGGCAAAGAATGGGCTGGCAAAACCAGCAGAGACAGCTGATCTGAACAAGGGGAAGCTCTTGGACCCCAGACCAACATCTGGGAGGTCAGCATGGGACTGATCCAGACCCCCTGAGTGTAAGAGTCAGTGAGGAGGCCTGGGCAACCTATGGGGCCCTGGGCAGTGGATCAGTGTTTATCCCTGGCATACAAATGGACTTCGTGTGTCCATAACACAAAGATGGATACTCTCTCAGCCTGGACTCTTAGGGGAGTGCCTGGACCCTGCCCTGAGCCAAGTGACAGACTCTGGCTATGTGGAAGAAAGTGGCAATAGGGTGGGAGGCTGGGGGGATGGAGGAGGGATGCAGGAGGAGGGGAGGGAGAGGGAACTGGAATTGACATGTGAAGCAAGCTATTTAAAATTAAAGTAATAAAAAAGTCAAAAATACATAGTATGACATTCTCAAAGAAATCATAAAACTGTTAAATATGAAAATGAAAAAATGGAGGTTGAAAATCACTTGACTACATATTAACAAGGCAAGGGAAATCAGAAGGTTTGAAGGTTCTTCAAGTTCTGTTTTTCATTGCATTTTGCGTGTGAATGGGCAAGAAAGCCCATATGAGGTACATCTTGGAGGCCATAGCCCCATGGAGCTGAAATACTTAATACTAAGAATATCATCTCTTTCCCCAGGGAGACTTAGGATGATGCCACTGAGCCCTCAGATTCACACAGTGGCATGGGAGGATTGTGCCATATTCTGATAGAGGGACAGGATTCCACATAGCTGCTAAGGCAGGTGCAAATTTAAGCATAGCTTCCTCAGCACAGGTTAGTAACATGGTAAAGGTCACCTGTTTTCATTTTGGTCTCACCTCATCTGAGAGACCATCCCTCAATCTCCCAGACTAAATTAGCAAATTCCATTCACCAACTAGTCACTCTTTGTGTACCATATCATACTTTGAATTATTTTTATATCCCTAGTATTTTTTATTTATTATTTTCCATGTCTCTCACTATAATGAAAATTCCGTGTAAACAGAAGCTTTCTGTTATTTACCTCTGTATCTAGAAAGACTATTATATAGTGAATATTACATGCATGTGGACTCCCACACTAGATCCATTCACATGTTCAGGCCCTAGCATGCAATGTGATTGTATTTAGAGATAAGACTTTAAGGAAGTACTTTGTAAATGAGGTCCCACCCTTATCCAGTGTCACTGCTGTACGGCTAAGCAACATAAGAGACATCTTGATTCCCAGGCACAGAAGAGGCCCCTGTGAGGACACATGGACAAGACGGACATTGTAACTCTGAAGAGAGGCCTGGGAGAAACAAACTCCATCAGCACTTTCATATCAGACTTTCAGCCTCTAGAACCATGAGACAATTAACTTCCATTGGTTAAACAAACTTTCTTAAAATCCATAGCATTTTATCACAGCAGCCCCAGCAAATTAGCATACCAAGCTTTCTGGATCCTTTCTACCTGTAAGAGCTATTTTAAAAAATCTGTTTTCCACAAGTGACAGTTCATGCTGTAGAAAAACAGAACACTCATACATTGCTGGTAGGAGTTAAAACTTTCACATCACCGTGGATAACAGTGTGGGAGTTCCTCAGAAAGAAGGGAATCAATCTACTTCAAGATCCAGCTATATAACTTTTGGGCATATACCCAAAGGATGGTTCACCCTAACACAGAGACAGTTGCTCAACCATGTTCATTGCTGCTCTATTCATAACAGTCAGAAATTGGAAACAATCTAGGTGTTCTTCAACAAAAGAATGGATAAATAAACTGTGGTGTATTCATAGGGTAGAGTGTTATTATTCAGTCATTAAAAATGACATCTTGAAATTTGCAGGCAAATGAATGGAACTAGGAAAAAAATCATCATGAATGAGGTATTGTAGACCCAGAAAGACAAATATAGTGTGTGTGTGTGTGTGTGCATACAATTATTTTAACTGTTAAGTCAATGAATGATAACCAAGGTACAATCCATAGAACCACAGATGGTAGGTATATAATAAGGGACTAGAGGGGACAGATAGATCTCCTTAGGAAAAGGAAATAGAATAGACATTTATAGATATATGGGGAGGTGAATAGGGGGACCAAGTGGGGATGGGAAGGGGAGAGGGGGTAATGGGAAAGAATATGGGGAGAGGCAGCTAAAATTAAAGGTCAATGGAGGGGTAGTATGGAAACCTAATACAGTAAAAGCCTCCTAAAACATATACATATATGAAGGTAATCTGAATGCTATAGCCAAACATTGGGAGAAGACAGAGACCTAACAGGGCCCTATTGCTGAAAACAACCTCTACATAACTCATTGAACATGAAGGTGTTGAGCTCCTGCCTACTTAGGACCTTCACTCCATGTTCTAGTGTCTTTGTACAGGAAGGTAATCTGCATACTGTCAAAAGAGAAATATAAACACCAAGCCATCCACAAACCTCTTATCTACAATGGTGTACCGCCTGCAAGGTATGCTAGGGTAGTGGTGGCACAAAGCTTGTGATAGTAACCATAACTGATCTGACTTAAGGCCCACTTCACAAGATAGACCATGTCTGACACTGCTTGTGTCATTAGAAAGCCCTAGGGCAAAGCCAAATAATACCAATCAAAATAGAAAAGTATAGTGATAAAATGACTCCTAATGATATTAACGACTCCTAATGTCATCAACACGTTACATTTACAACGAGAAACAAAGGGTTTTACACACCAGTATTGATATT